TCAAATATTTATTAGGCACTTTCTGTTTGGCAGCATTTAAGTTTCGAGTTAGGCATATGAGGGTGAATACCTCCCAGACCCTGTCTTCTTAGCAGCATTTTACATAGTTTTCACATCTTTGTTCTCAAAATACTTTCTTCAGTTGGCATCTACAGTTTCTAGGTTTTCATCTTCTTCACCTTTGGCCCTTCTCAGTCTCCTTTGCTTGATCTTTCTCTTCTGGACCCCCTAAATAATGGGCCCCCAGAGCTTAATCAGTCCTTCAGCTTCTTTTCTAGCTCTCTTTTATCCCCTGAGTCATTTCACTCAGTGTCATAGCTTTAAATATTTTAGCATTTGATATACTGATGTTTCTCTATATTTTTTTCAGCTCTGGCATTTTCCTTGAATTTCAGCCTCAGATAATCCAACTGCTGGATCTCTAATGGGCTGTTTAATAGGCATTTCAAAATTCACAAGACCGGGCTTCCCTGGTGGCGCAGTGGTTGAGAGTCCGCCTGCCAATGCAGGGGACATGGGTTCGTGCCTCGGTCTGGGAAGATCCTACATGCCGTGGAGTGGCTGGGCCCGTGAAACATGGCCGCTGAGCCTGCGTGTCCGGAGCCTGTGCTCCGCAATGGGAGAGGCCACAACAGTGAGAGGCCCACGTACCACAGGAAAAAAAAAAAAATATTCACAAGACCATAACATATTGTAACTGTTTGCCCCCTTAACTTTGTGTTTAGTGATCCATCTGGCTCATTTTTCAGATTATGACATGGCTAGCTCCCTCATATTGTTCAGGTCTGTTTCTCTTCTACTTTGCTTTATTTTTCTTCATAGTACTATTAATCCTTACCACTACATTGACATTATATAGTTGTTTGTTTATTAATTTTCTAGATGCTGAGAGACTTTAATCTCCTGCTACTGTTTTTTTATCAGTTTCTTCTGATATTTACTGTGTTTTGCTTTATTTTTGTTTTTGTTTAATTCATTAAGACTCACAATCTTGGCTTGAACTATTATTTTATAGTTATTGTTTTCATCCACTTCATACTTTTTTAAATTGTATTTTTTTATCTCTACCTTTGACCCCTTTAATCCCAGTTAATACTTTTTCTTTAACTTCCTCCTAGTTTTACAAAGATTGTGTCTGCCTTATATATCTTTCTGTCATGAGTCACTGTTATTGTGTGTGTGCCTTCGTGTAATAGTAATGTTACTACTATTCACCCAGTCCAAAGGATATCTTACTATGTTATTTTCGACCATTTATATGTATGACTGTACTAGATGCTTGGTATTAATATTGTCATTTTATTTAAAAATTTCTGTTTTTAATGTGTCCTGCTTTCATTTAATCTTTTATTTCCTTCTTTTTGCTTTTTTTTGTTGTTGATATTCTGTCTCAAATAATTTATAAGATATGTAGTATGTTTTTATTCTAAACTTAAGTATGTTTGAGTCTCTTTTTTTCTTAATTTCAGAAACATTATTCTTAGGAGCTATGAAAAATGATGAAATTAACTCACATTGCATTTGATCTCCCCTCCTCCAATTTATTATACTTTGTGATTTTTGTGGTCCCAATTTATCGTAGTTATAATATATTAGGTTTTCTTTCATGCTTTATAACATTCATGTCAGAGTGATTTTTTCCTAGTTTTTTAGCTTTAGCTTTTAACTGTACTGCAGTGTTTTCATAGAGTTCTCATCTTTGCTTTGTAATTCATTCTTAATAAAACACACCTTTTTTCTGATAATGTATCAGATGTGTTAATTTTAGAATATTTGAAAAGTACAAAAAAGCACAAAGAAGGAAAAAAGTCACTGAAATCTCACCATTGAGAACTACATTAACAATTTAGTATATCTTCTTTGTCTTTTCTCTTCATGCATGAATATTATTATTACTTACAACACTTGATTTACAGTATATAAACTACCTTTTCCCTTCACTCACTATGTAGTGGACATTTTCCAACAATATTAAAGTCAGGCTGCAGAATACATTATGATTACATGGTATTTTGTAACAGATATTTCATAATTTGTTGTAAGGCATCCTCTGTTGTTAGACAATTAGGTTGTTCACAGTTTGTTATTATAAATTGTATTGTGATGAATATGGATGATTTAAATCCCCTGGATTATTTTTTAGGTTAAGTTCCAAGAAGTGGAGTAATTCTGAGGCTGTATAGTTTGGTGATTAGGAGCGTTGGCTTTAGAGTCAGACTGCCTTGGGTTCAAATTATTATTTCTTAGGTGTGTATGCTTAGGCAAATTAATTTATCTCTCTCAGTTTCTTAATCTGTGCTTTGACAGTAATAGTTTATGTATGGAAAGCACTTAGACCAGTGTCTGAGAGGTCATAAAAGCTCAGAAATGTTAGATGCAAACATCATCACTGTCATCGTGGCTGACGTCATTATCATTTTTATTTAAAAGGATATGCATATTTGAAATGATTTTTTTATATAATATTAAAATTCTCTCTTGAAAAGTTGTATCAATTTGCATTTCTACCAGCAAAATATGAGAGTGGCATTTTACCAGCTCTGGCCAACAGCTGCAATTATGATTAAAACACATGTTGTTTTGAGAGTGTAGGCCCAATTTTATAGGGTTAATATATATCTTTGTTTTAATCTCTAATTTTTGGTTATTGATTTCGAATGTTTGGGTTTTACCTATTTTCATATGGGGTATTTATGTTTAAGTGCTCTTCATTCATATTTTAATTAGCCTTTTGTGTTTTATGTTGCCTATATTTTTCTAGTTGGTTTTTACCTTTTAGTATTGTTTGAGGTTATTTTATGTATTAATGTTTTACCTTTGTGAGATGTGTATGTAAAGAAAATTCTTTTCCTTCTAGTACTGCCTTTTAAAAAAAGTTATTCTTTTTGACATTTATTAAGTCAAAAAGAATAATTTTCTCTGTGACAGGTATAGATCTATATTTTAAGGTAGATAAATAAATGGGCCTTTGAGAAGGCACATTATTTTAGAATGATTTTAGATTTACAGAAAAGTTGCAGAGATAGTACAAAGTTCCCCTATGCCCCTCACCTAGTTTCTCCTATTGCTAACATCTTATATTACCATGGTACAGTTGTCATGACCAAGATACCAACACTGATACATTACTGTTACCTAAATGCCACATTTTATTCGGATTTCATTAGTTTTTCCATTGTTTTCTTTCTGATCCAGGATCCCATCCAAGATACCATTACTTTTAGTTGTCTTGTCTCTTTACTCTCCTCTGCTCTGTGACAGTTTTTCAGTCTTTCCTTGTTTTTCAATATATTGAGAGTTTTGAGGAGTACTGGTCATGTATTTTGTTGAATGTTCCTCAATTTGAATCTGTCTGGTGTTTTTCTGATTGTTAGACTGGGGTTATTTATATCGGTATGGACTCAGGGATATTTATACTTTGGGTTCTAGTCCAATACTACGTTATTTATTTTGTTGTTTATTTTAGCTTTGGCCATTCATTCTTTCATGTTGGCTCCTCTGTGTCCCTTTGACATGCCCCCACCTTCCTTTTGCTGTTGTTGTTTTGAGCACTACAACATGCTCTAGGCTAATCTTCTGGATTCCCTGCTCTAATCCTAGAATCAGCTACCTCCCCAAGAATCCCTGTTTCCTTCTATTGGACTGTGGTATGTAGAAACCAAGATTCGGCATTGGTGTACTCACTGCTACTGGGGGTGTCACTGCTTCTAGTCTCTATTAGTGAACAGAGCTAGGAATACTATTTGTGTCAGTGTGCATGGGTATATGTACGCACATTCACATATAATTACTTCTGAATCTGTATCTATATAAACCTAAATATGAGTTCACACTGATGTCTCTGACTCTATTTCAGTACCATCAGGATCATTCCAACCTCCATGCCCTTGCTTTTCTGTAGCTTCCCACTCGAAGTGAGAAGCTTGACTTCCATCATCTACCGTTCATTTACTTATTTGTTTGACCCCAGTATACAAAGTGTTTCAGAATTAACCCATATCCCTCCGAGAAATAACTTTATCAAATAAAGTACAGTTTTTTTAATTAATTAATTTAATTTTGGCTGCGTTGGGTCTTTGTTGCTGTGTGCGGGCTTTTCTGTAGTAGCGGTGAGCGAGGGCTACTCTTTGTTGTGGTGTGCGGGCGTCTCATTGTGGTGGCTTCTCTTGTTGCAAAGCACGGGCTCTAGGCGTGCGGGCTTCAGTAGTTGCAGCACGTGGGCTCAGTAGTTGTGGCATGCGGGCTCTAGAGCGTGGGCTCCGTGGTCGTGGTGCACAGGCTTAGCTGCTCCATGGCATGTGGGATCTTCCTGGACCAGGGCTCGAACCCATGTCCCATGCATTGGCAGGCGGATTCTTAACCACTGCGCCACCAGGGAAGTCCGTAAAATACAGTTTTTGTGTATGGTTCTATTTGTCTTTAACTTTACAGTTTCCAGTGAGAGCACTGTCTTCCAAAGTTACTTATATCAGTTCCTTTTTTCACAGTTCTGTTTTTGGTGCTCGGCTTAAAAGACCTTTTTGATCCAAAGATTGATTTTATATACATATATATATATATATATAGAGAGAGAGAGAGAGAGAGAGGGAGGGAGGGAGGGAGGGAGGGAGGGAGGGAGGGGGAGAGAGTATTTTATTAATTATTAGATATTTTATTACTTTATTTACCTTAAATTCCTAAATACAACTATAGTTCATTTTGTCACTTGATGTGAAGTAGAGCTATACACACACACACACACACACACACACATATATGCATATGTATATAGTACTTTTTTCAATTGTTTAAAATGCTACCTTTATCATATTTAAAAATTTTTAAATTACTAGACATTTTCTGTGTTTCTTATTCTGTTTAATTTTCTCTTCTTATTCAATTTCCAGGCATTATATAACTTGGTGATAATTTTAGCATCTGGTAGATTATTTCTCTTTTTGTATATGCCTGTTCACTTATTCTTTTAATTAATTGCTATAATTTTCATTTCTTTATTTCAGGAACATTTTAGTGGATAAGCCAAATGACCAGTCTTCACGGTGGTCTTCAGAGAGCAACTACCCTCCCCAGGTAAGATTATGTGTAGCTCTTGATACCATTCAGAAGTCAGATTTTAAATAGGCATGCACTTAACTGATATCAGTTATCTAGATTCCATTAATAGTTTATTCAGTCTTTGAAATTGTGAGGTAAATTTTTTTTTTTTTTTTAATTTATTTATCTGGCTGCGTGAGGTCTTAGTTGCGGCATGCGGGCTCTTGGGCTCTTTTAGTTGCAGCATGCAGAATATAGTTACCTGACCCGGGTTTATATAGTTACCTGACCCGGGATCAAACCCGGGCCCCCTGCATTGGGAGCGCAGAGTCTTAACCACTGGACCACCAGGGAAGTCCCAGAGGTAAATTTTATTTCCTCTTTTTTTGTTTGTTTACATTTTGGAAGAATTTTTATTTCATAGGCAAATACAGTGTGGAATTTGATGAAGCATAGACTTTATACTTCTCTCTACTGGAACATTTAAAATCTAATTTATGATTTTTCTGGATTACTAATGATGCAAAACTAAGTTTCTTGTTACGTTTTGAGGAAAATGTTAACTAAAAAGAACTGGTTAAGGTGCTGTTAGTGTTCTGAGTAGTAACTGATCAGAGTACTGATCTGAGCAGAGGTTGTGACTTCTACTGCACTTAAACTCAGGTCATTCTGTAAATATTTAAGGAGATGTTAGTAAATTCAACTTTGACTCAGTGATTCAGTAACTGCCTTTTAGGGAAAATAAGCTTAATATAGTTTGTTATTTTACTAAACTAGTATATTTAGATGATATTAGGACCATGAGCTAAATTGTTTCCTTGACAAGTGGTGTCTGATGTCATCTGAATTAAAAAATAATCATTTTTCAGTTATATTACACTTCAGCATTAGCACTTATGTCCATATCCTTGAGGAAAGTAATGCTCTGATAGGTAAAGAAGATGGGTAAATAAAACTTACTTTATTTTTTTTTTATTCTAATGTAATTCTTGGAAACCTAGTCTCTACTTATATTTCCTTTTTAATTGTTTTTTTTACAGTTTACAAACCTTTTTGGATCACCTGGTGTTTTAAGTGTTTAATTGCAAAATATATATCCAAAGAATACACACACATTTATATATAAAATATAAAGAATAATAAAGCAAATACCTGTTTACTTGTCAACCATCTTTAGAAATGGAAAACTGCTACAACCTTTGAAGCTTCCTGTGAGCCCCATCTTATATCTATCCTCTAATCCCCCCCAGTAATTATTATTTCATATTTTGTTAAGCATATTCTCACAGTATTATATATGTATATGTTTATAAATTCCTGTGATTTAAGTTTTGTCTGGCTTTGGCTTTATATAGATATAATATATATTGAATCACTCATTATACATCTTCTTTGGCTAGCTTTTTGTTTGTTTGCTTAACATTATGATATTAATGTTGCCGAGTATAATTATAGTTTGTTAGTTTTCACTACTGTTTAGTATTCCAGTATATAAGTATGCCAAAATATATCTATCCATTTTTCAGTTGATAGGCTTTTGAGTTTTTTATAGTTTTTGCTCTTAGGAACAAGATGCTATGAATATTCTTCTATGTTTTTTCCTGGTACACACATACAAGAGTTTCTTTAGGGTATATACCTTGGTGTACAATTGCTGGATCATAGAGGATATGTGTGTCCAACTTTTATCTGGTAATGCAAAACTGTTTTTACAAAATAGATGTATAATTTATACTCTGACTGGCAGTGTATGAAAGTTGTTGTGCATTGTGTTCTTCCCATCACTTCTATGGATGATTTTTAGATTTTACCAGTCTGGTGGATCTTTCACTGTAATAGCCTCTTGTTACAGATTTTCATCAACCAGTCAATACATAATGTTGCTTTATATGCATTTCTGTTTAAAGACACCTTACTTTGTGTATATTGTTTATTCATTAGCATTGGACTCACAGCCATTAGCACTATAACTCTTGCCTGAATGAAGCTTATCTAATACACATATTTTCTCTGTAAGGCACATTGCAGCCTTCTTGCATTTAGAAACACTAGACAGCACTTCAGCACTATACTTGGGGATCATTTTAGACAGTGAAACACCAACAGAAAACACAGAAATATTTTTAAATGTGCCTAAATAGACCATGAAAAGGAAACTTGTTTGTAGTATGAGAGCTAAAACAAGAAGGCATAGGGTCCATTGTTTGACCTTAGCTGGGAGAGTGTGCTTCTGGCAACCTAAATTTTTTGCTGCTCTGTGCATGTCCAGGAATGACTGAGAGTATTGATTTGATGTTAAAAATAAATTTTAGTGAGTAGATGAATTTACAAGTGCAAAACCCATGAATAGTGAGGAACAACTATACTGTAACTAACAATTCATTTACCATATCTTGAACAGGCCTGAGAATTAGAAAGGAAAAGAGGACTCTGAAAAATCAAAAGCATTGTGATGAGATTTTAGGTTCTAAGGGCCTTTTCTTAAGAATCCACTTTGGATATAATGTTATTCTGTTTGGTTGATTGTTTCTTTCAGTTTCAGCAACTGGAAGCAGCTTTGTGCATGGGGGGCGTAGCTGTGAAAGATAGGCACATTAACAGCAAGTTGACAACTGACAAAGTGTCATAAGGGGGAAGACAGAAAAATCTAAGTAACAAATAGAAAACCAAAAGTGTAACATATAGGGGGTCTTTAGTGCAAGAATACTCTGTATTTCATTAACCTCTAGGATAGTGTTTCTAGTAAACTTTCTGCAGCGATGAAAATACTCTATAATCTGCACTGTATAATACGGCAGCTGCTAACCACAGGTGGCTATTGAGTACTTGAAATGAGGCTAGTGCATCTAAGGAATGCAATTTTAAATTTTATTTAATTATTTTAGATTAAATAGCCCCAGGTGGCTAGTGGCTGTGTATTAGACTGCACAGATCTAAGGCATCGCTGTTATTCGGATATACTGTTTGATGCTCACAGTGCTTGATTCTGTCAGTAAGAAATTTTAATTATGTTTAGTATATGCAGCTTAAGCAGATAAGGAAGTTAATGGTGCAGTTATCTAGAGAGGGGTGGAAAACAAAATCAAAGCCTCTCAGCTACTCCTTTTTTTCCCATAATGAGAAAAAACTATAAGTGTGTACATGAATGCTAGGACGTATGGCATGTTTTGAGAGTGAATGAACCCTAAACACTTCTCTCAAAAGCTTGTGTTGGGTTATGAGTGGGGTAGGTAAAAATACAAATATTTTTCTTGTAATATATGTTGATTATTTTTTTTTGGATGGCTACTAAATTGTCAGGGCATAAGTATTATACTTATTGTTTGGACCTAACTACTTAAGAAATAGAACTGTTGATATTTCTTTTGACCTTGGGTGCTGTATTAGTCATCAATTGCTGTGTAACAAATGACCGCAGAATTTAGCAGTTAAAAACAAACATTTATTATTTCACCCTGTTAGTGAGGGTCAGATTTTGACGCAGGAGAAAAAAAGAGAACACATCTACTGGGGAATGCTTGAATACATTTTTCATGGAATATTGTCAGCCATTTAAATGAAATGAACTGGCTTCATACCAGTTAACTTGGAGGAATTTCCACTATAAAATGAGAAAAGCATGATGCAGAGAAACATCTATAATAAGATCCTACTGTTGTTACCTGAATAACAACTCTCCCTCCCTCACCACTATATGTGTATGTACATGTGTATATTTTTATTTGATACAGTGAGCCCAGATAAAGATATGATAGGATATAGATCTGGTTGTTGGCATTGGTTATTTAAGAGAGGAGGAGATGAGATAGGAAAAAGAGAGAAAACAATTATTTTAAAAAGTTATTCCCGTCAAAATATTTGATATTCGACTTATGTAAAGTATGTGTCTGTGTGAGTGTGTGCATAGAGTTCAAATGAATCATCATCAAAATGGTGGTGGTTGTGTCAGGATAATGGCATTTAGGTAATTTTAAATTTCTTTTCAATTTTATTCTTATACTTTTATCTCTTTTGATTCTCATTTTCAATTTATATTTATAATTTATATAAACGGAAAAAAATGAAAGCCATTTTCATTGTGGTAGGGAGCAAATATTTTTAGACCTAATGAGAAAACATTGCTGTTGATTCTGGATTCTCTCTCTGTACTGGGAGGGAGTAAATGTAGCATGAATGAAAACCCTATAAATACTTTAAGATAGTAATTTCACCCTTCTCCCACATCAGATATGTTTTATAGAAGTTACTGATACTGCCATGGAAAATATGTCTTTCAAGGTGACTGGGGAATACGCTAGGGTTGGTTGAAATGTACAGGCAGTTACATATGTCTTGATAATTGCTTTAAGAAAGATTAGATCATAATTCTTCTACTACAATTATAAGTTCCTTCTAAGGTAGTTTAAATAAAAGTATGGTATTAGGTAATATTCTTTGCTTTCTGGGGCTAGAGAGAGAGTAGTTAAAGTTGTTTAACAAACTGCAGGAATTCTGCTTTTGCAGGTCAAAAAAAACTTTAGTGATTACTTAATACAGTTGGGTGTATGTGTGTGTGTTACAGCTTTTGCAGTACACTTAACGTTATTCTTTCTCTGTTTGATGAACCATAACAAGAATATTATAGGAATAAGAGTTACTTGCAAAGTAAGGAGAAAATATATGCATTTCAATGTAATTTCTATCTGTGGAAACAGGATACCAGTAAATTTATGAAGCTTCTTTATGGTATTTTGCCCAAGTGTGTGAAAAGAACATTGTATGTTTTGAATAATACATTTTTATTTAATATGATTTCCATATAGTGAAATGCATGAACCTTAAGTGTATAGTATCCATTTTGAAAAATGCACACACTAATATAATTTACACCCCTATCAAGATAAAAAATGTTTTCATCGGGTCAGGAAGATTCTTTCTGTCCCTTACCAGTGAATCCTTAACTCTCTCACCTTCTACCCAGAGGCAACCACTGTTTGGATTTCTTTTGCTGTAGATTAGTTTTACCAGTTCTAAAATTAATAGAAATGAGTATATAC